GAATGGTGGTCATGCGTAACCCAAAGGGTCCAAGTATCTAATAATCATATACTTACCCAAAACCTGTACTATAATTACTATTGCCCAAATCCCAAGTACCAAATTATTGGGTACATGGACCCTCTGGGTAATGCCAAAGCTATCCTTATCATCCCCTCAGTCATCAGTTCCCTTATGACCCCCTCTCATCTTTTAGACTTAAGAAGTGCAAAGCTTCGGAGAACCCAGACAAATGTTGACGAATGGTGTTTTCTGATGATCCCTCTGTCTTCTGGTATCATAGAACCGACCCTGAGGCCCAAATCTTGTCGTTCATTCCCCACGTACTTTGCCCGCGCACTATGAGCAGTCACTAAGTAGTTCTATGAGCAGTCACTGAGAAGTTCATGCTTATAGGAGCCAAGTCTACAAAGCACAGGGGAGAAGCGGTGCTAGTACTCTTTGCAGCTTCTAGACCACGTTCCTCGCGCTGCCCAGAAGACGCTCCACGTAATCTCTTGACCCCAAGGCCTTAAGCTTAAAACTCCACACTGTGCACAACCCTACCTCGTGGCTCAAGCTGATTTGTTATTAGTTGCCCCGCGACTCGGGATCGAACCATGGCAAAAGCCATGAAGGCAATGAAGGCCGCTCGGGACTTTGGGCGGTGCGTCGTTGAATGCCTGGTGTTTTAGGGGTGCTTGGTTGAGAGCATTCTAGGGGTCGGAGGGGGGAACCTGCGCCACTACCTATCGCGACTGCAAGGCCATTGTTAATTCGCATCCTGGGCTCTGGAGGCTAACCAGACAATTCGTTGTTCATCGAGGCTTCGTTTTGAAATCCTGGACCAGCCTTCTACAGTGTACAACAGCAACTAGACCATTTCAGAAAGCCATGCCTCTTTGTCCTCGAGCCAAATCAGTCGCGTAGATCTGGCATTTTAAGCTTTTTGCAGTAGTTGGAGGTTTGTGAATAAGTGTAGCAGCTTTCTTGGGGCTTCTAGCTATCCATGTACTCAGAAGAAAAGGTCTAAGCAGGTAACGCACAAAGTTCGCAGACACCCACGTTCAAGTCCTACACGCGAAGCCTCATGATCCTGAAGCAGTGAACCCAAAGCCCCTAAACCCAGATAGACGAGGCCAGCAAAAGACCTGCGGCGATGAAGAAGGTAGCCATGAAGAAGCTCAAGTCCAAGGCCGTCGCGATGCTCGGCAGCGAGGGTCATTCGAGGAATCTAGGGACTCAGGATTTATGTTGGGGTTGAGGGATGATGTAGGCGTGGTATAAGGTCCAAGAAGGGATTTGGGAGTGTGATCACGTCCTAGGAAGACCAAGAGGTTTCTATGATCTTCAAATGTGGCCCCTACCTTTACGTCCTGAAGTGGTTGAGGGCAATCACGCTGGGATTGACACGAGGAATGCTACAGCGGAGTATACCCCAGCTTTAAAGTTGCAGAGGGCTTTAAATATACCACCCTAAGGGTCCAAGTACCCAATAATTAGGCTGGGGTAATATTGATTTTAGTACAGGTTTTGGGCAAGTATATAATTATTAGCTACTTGGACCCGTAGGGCTACAGTCCAACTAGAACGAGTACATACATTGACATTACAACCACATTCGCTGACTTAGCTGGCGTTGGAGTTTCCGAAGAAATAGGAGCCCAACAAAAAAGCCCAATACTAGAATCCGTGGCAATGGGATCCCGGCAAAGGCACCCGCATTTTAACCCCCCAAAAAAACTTGGACCCCGGCAAGGGGACCCAGCTGAGGCCCAGAGGCTGTGCCTGAAGAGAACACTGTTTGCAGGTTGTCAGTAGGAGATGAAGTTGAGGGAAGGAAAGCACATGGAAAATTCGATGTTATGATGCAATACGTAAAGGCTGCCGTAGGCATCTATCCCTCCATTCCCTACTCCGCGAAATTTGCATTGCAAGCCTTCAAGCGGCTGTATGCTTATGCTTCCATGGGGGTCTTTTGGAATCTGTCTTCTTGTTTCTTGAGCTGATTTAAACTATTAGGTTTTTGCAATATGGACTCGCCACTTGCAAGTGGAAGTTTTTATGCATCTGAAAGTCGCTTTTGTTTTTGTAGCCCACTTATGAAAAGAAAACAGCTTGACAAATGGCGTGTTCTTTGGGGAATCGAACTTTGCCTTTTGCAGGCAGCTGCGCCTGTTGGGAAGTAATCTTGTTTCCTGGGACCAATTTTACACTGTGAAATAGACGCGCGTTTAAACCTGAGCCCAAACAAAAACCAGAGAGACACAACAGCCGCATTGCTTGTCCAGAGCTGGCTCCAAACGGTGGATCATTTGAATTTCATACTCCCCCAAACCAGAAAACCCTCGGTTAGAAGGACGGCAGTCTGTCTGGTGCCTTTTTGGTGTTGTTTTTTGAGTTTGGGCGAGGGCAATTCCGAGAAACTATGTAAGCCCGCTGGAAACAAGCCCACGTTAATACTGTTAAGTGTCGCAATAATAGCACTCCCCTGGAATCGTGATGTAACTACTACAGCAAAAACATACTCCAAAACATACCCCAATGCCTTTTTGGAAATATGTAGGTTCCTACCTTTCTTGTCGCTCAGATATGGTTTGGATGAGATGCTGTTTGTTGCCGCGCGCTAGGTCCTGGAAGTGGATCCTGATTTTGAAGCCCACTCCTTGCACCATAGGAGCCAGTCCCCCGGACATAAAATTTGAGTCTTCAAGCCTTTATAAAGCCCAAAGCCTAAACCCTCAATCTTGAACCCCAAATCCCGAACGCAAAAAATTCTAAACCGTTGGTTAAGCCAACTCAGGAGTAAGAGTCCAGTTTCAACTGGCATTGGCAACTTCAAGATCCGGATCGGGATCATTCATGGCAAGGCGTCCGGTGTGTCTTTGAATACTGGGTTGTTGTTAAAGAACGTAAGTTAGTCTCCTGTATGAAGGAAACCCCATTACTTATCATATACCCATAAAGAACTAAGCTCCTTGACAGCAACTCAAGATATCACTTCTGTAGTGCTGCTTTGCTGGCTCCTGTGAATCTTCGAGGCCGCGCGAGTTGTTTGTGCTCTGGGTGTGAGCCGATGTTTCAGGGCGCCATGTTTTTGGGGGTTCTGGGCTCTGGAACCTCTGAAACTTTCACTTGTGCCCAGCGTGTAAACTGCAAAGCACTGATTGCAAACAGGGGCTAGGGTTCAGGGTCCAGGGCCCTACACCCTAAACCCTAAACCCTAACATTGTTTATCTTCAATCACGTTGTAAAGCCGGTGCTAACTCAAAGGTGAATGAGGTGACAGGCTTCAAATCCATACAAGAATAGACCGCCCCTTGGCTTACGGCCATATTGGGGTTATACTGGGATAATGGAAAAGAAAATGGAAACTACTACATTATATGGGGATTATATAGGGGTTATATTGGGGTTATACTAGGATAATGGAAAAGAAAATGGAAACAACTATAATATCTAGGGGTTATATTAGGGGATATACATAATTGAGGGACGGCTACTGAGCTTTGCTTAGGGGCTATTGTGGGATTCCAGTTCCTCCGAAGCATCATTTGAATAGCCCCAGGCCCTTCGTCGCGGAGACACGGAGAATTCTAGAGCCCAAAGACTCAGAGCCCATCCAATCTTAAAATTCGAATCACGTCAGGAAGGCCCCTGGCATGGAACCTAGACATTCGCCAAACTTAGGGTTCAGGAGTTAGGATTTTGCTGGCAGGTGTTCGACCCCATCAGGGTCGGCACGCAAGATCGGAATTATCCAGTCCGCTTCCCAGTTTTGCAGTCGTGCGCTGTATTCCTGACTGATGTGAGCATCATAGGCCAGTGTAGCTGGAGGGTTCCAGTGCAGGTTCGCAAACTGTTGCTTGCAGAACGTTACACTCATGCTTACCTGCGCTCCCTTCTGCTCGGAGCAAGAAGAAGTGATTATTTGAACAGCCCCCAGCCCCCAGCAAGCCTTAAACCCATGCATTACGTAAGCTTTAACCCTGTCCTTATCTCTTAGCACTTCCCAAAAGGTAGGACATCCACGGTCCAGGCAAGGGTCATAGTTTACTGTAATAACCCTAAGGGTCCAAGGACCCAAATATTTGGGTTTTAGGGCCCAAATACTATAATATTAATGGTATTTGGGCCCTAAAGCCCTATTATTTGGGTCCTTGGACCCTTAGGGTAAAGGCCGTGGCTTCAAGCATCCTAT